CTACTCCCTGCAGCGTGACTTCTCTTGAGCATCAGTTTCCCGCCTCACGCCTCGCTGTGGGGCTGTTGTGTGGACCCCCGGAAAGCCCCCTTATCCTGAATGGGCTGCTGCTTCCTGTCCTGGCAGTGCTTGTGGCAGCTAGCACAAGGGGGGGCTCTGGAAACTTGAGCCTCGAGGACTCAGGGGCAGAAAGAAGCCAGGTGTCAGGAAGCCCACCCCACGGGTGCTGAGGGCCACCCTGCCCTGCCTGTTTCTCACCCAATGTCTCCCTGTCTTCCAGGCAGATTTTTTGAAAGGATTGCCTGTCTACAACAAAAGCAACTTCAGTCGATTTCATGCCGACTCCGTGTGCAAAGCCTCGGTGAGTGTGTGTTCCAGGGCCAGGAGAGGTCGGGCTGCTGCCGGGGATGGTGTGGCGCATGTGCCCCGGCCACTCTTCCACCCAACTGCACCCCATAGCCTCCTGCCTTCGATCTGCACTGAAGAGTGGGCGCTGAGTCCGGGTTAGGGGACCCTGGCCCCCACTCTCCTGACCTGCCCTTCCCACCCTTCCACAGAACCGACGCCCCTCAGTCTACCTGCCAACACGAGAGTACCCGTCTGAGCAGAGTAAGTGGCCTTGGGCAGGCTGTCCCCTCCTGGCTGTGAGGGGTGGGGTCCACAGACCGTGCATGGCAGGGAAGTCTCAAAGCAAAGGCCTGTTTACGCTCTGGCTACTGAGTCCAGGGTTGGGGGTGGGGTGGCCTTGAGGTGGTTCAGGGTGTGATCCATGGGGGCTGGGCTGGTGGTGCACACACGTGTACGACCCCATCCCAGCCCTTGGAGGCACCCCCTGGACCCATACTGAGCCTGGAATGGCCCTCTTGTGCTGCTCACTGGCCAGGTCCTGTCCTGCTCAGGTCGGGTCGGCCAGGAACTCAGACCCCAAGGCGAGAACTGTCCAGCAGGGAGACAGCAGAGCAGGAGGACATGGTCAGGGTGTCTCATTTTAACTGTTATTAAAGACTCCAAACTGGATGTGGTGGTGGCGCCTGTAGCCCCAGCTGCCTGGGAGGATTGTTTGAGCCCAGGAGGTCTGGGTTGCAGTGAGCTATGATCACACCACTGCACTCTAGCCCGGGCCACAGAGCAAGACCCCATCTCTACAAAAAAAAGAATCCCTCTACCTGGACCCCGTGCGTAGGGCTTTGTGGTCACTGGGCACAGCTGTGTGGCTTGGGCGTCTGTGCATGCTGAGCCTGTGGCTCGGGGCTTGTGCCCCACCGAGGTGAGAGCCCATTCACAGGGGCTGGGACTGGATGGAGCAGCTGACGTGGGCCTCAGCGGCCAGCTGTGCTCAGAAGCGAAAACACTGGGCTGTTGGACACCTCCCCAGCCGCGGGTGCGGGCTCCAGCCCCAGAGAGACCGCCCAGGCAGAGACAGGCCAGGAAGCAGGGAGGGGGGCGTGTCTGCTCAGGGGACGGGCCGCCGACAGCCAGCCCCTCGCCACCTCTCCTGCAGCTTTCTCTTTCTTCTTTAGTCATCGTGACAGAAAAGACCAACATCCTCCTGCGCTACCTGCATCAACAGTGGGACAAAAAGGTAAGGCTGTGGGCTCGGGTGCTGCTGAGGCTGAGGGTGGAGAGAGACGTGGTGCCCAGGGAGTACTGTGAGCTGGGAAGGGCTGGGGTGACCGGAGCAGGGCCTTGAGGGCTGAGTAGGAGTTTCCAGGGAGTCCAGCAGAGGGAAGAGTGTTCCAGTGGGGTGAATGGCTGCGCAGAGGCCACAGGGCTCTGGTGCTCAGAGGCTGGAGGCCAGGTCCAGGCACTCAAGGCCCAACTTTATTGGTATAACCTAGACTCTTCTTTCTGTTGATTGATTGATTGAAGGGACTGAGTCTCACTAAGTTGCCAGGCTGGTCCTCCTGTCAGCCTGCTGGGATTATAGTCGTGAGCCACTGAGCTTGGCCTAGAATCTTTTGTGAATGGCAAAATGTCCACGTGATTAAAAATCTAGGGGCTGGGTGTGGTGGCCCCTACAGTCCCAGCTGCTTGGGAGACCAAGGTGGGGGCTTTGCTTTCAGCCTAGGAGTTGGAGCCGTGGTGAGCTATGACTGTGCCACTGCGCTCTGACAGGGTAAGTCCCTGTCTCTAAAAGAAAAAAAATCCAGCCGGGCTCGGTGGCTCCGCCTGTCATCCCGCGCCTTTGGGAGGCTGAGGCGAGTGGATGGCCTGAGCCCGAGGGTTCGAGACCCGCCTGGGCAGCGAGACCTCATCTCTACAATAAATCAAAAAATCAGCCGGGCGCAGTAGTGCATGCCTGTAATTCCGGCTACTCGGAAGGCTGAGGCGGAAGGATCGCCGGAGCCCAGCAGGTCGAGGCTGCGGTGGCCGGGAGCGGCCACTGCACTCCAGTCTGGGTGACAGAG